AAAAAAAAAAAAAAAAAAAGGGAAAAGTGAAGGCATCTGGAACCTTCTCCTTCCCCATCAGTCTTTCCTTCCTCTCGAACCAACCTCCTTCCCAAACCAGCCGGCAGCCATCACCGCGCCCTACGCCCGGCCTTGCTCGGCCTCACCCGAACCACCGCCCTTGCTCTGCATCCTCACCCTGGCCTTTTCTCCTTTCTGCTCCCGAATCAGATCCCCTTGCTTTGCACCAAATCTCCTGCACTCTGCACACCGGCAATCATGCCTCCCACACGCCTACACGCCCTACCCCTGCATGCCTACACCCTTGCTCTGCCCTACCCCCTGCCACGCTTGCCTCCTGCATGCTGCACCAGATCCCTTCACTGCTGCACCACGCCCCTGCCCTTGCTCCTGCACCAGCCCGGCTGCACCCCTTGCACTCTGCTGCACCGAGCCTACAGAGTGCCCCAATCTCGCGCCTCTGCTCTCCTGCTCTCTACAGCCATACAGAAAAAAAACAACAATGCCAAACAAAATTGGCATCATTGGTGATTGACAGAGCAAGGCCTTTCTTTTTACTTCATTTTTATTTTTATTTTATTAGTTGGATGTATATATAGAGCAAAGGCAGAGTAGAGAAACCGGGGGGGGGGGTCGGTGGTTGGTGAAATTTTTGATTTTGGGGGGTCTTTGGTTGATCGTAGAGTTTTGAGTTTGATTTTGGAGAGTCTTTGATTGATTTTGGCTGTTTGATTTTGGGGGGGTCTATATTTGATTTTCGGAGTTGATTTGGAAGTCTCTGTTTGGGTTTTCTTTGAGAGCAATAAAGGGAAATTCCGAAAAGAGGAAGGGTTTAGTTGAGAGGAGAAAAGGGGAGGTTATTGGCCGGAGTGTGGTGTCGTTGGCCGGTAAGGAAGGAAGATTTTTCTTTGGAAGGCGACTGTGATTGACATCTTTTTTGGGTTTACTTTCTGCCTCAGGTAAATTTTTGAACAGAAGAGGTTTTTGGGAATGGTGGTGAAGGGGACGATGGGAGCCTGGTCCCATGGGTGCGATCCCTCTCATCAGATCTGGATCCATTTTTCCTCAAAAAACTTTGCCGTGGGTGTGTTATTTGTTTGCTGATTGTTGTTTTTTTTTTTTTTGTATTTTTCATTCAACGTTCAAGCTTGTATGTGCTTACTAAGAAATGAATGAAAAGCCAAAAGAAATTGTCTAGTTCGTCTTTACCTGATGAATGTGTTTTTATTTTATTTTTCTGTTGTTTTTTTTCTTTGGGATTGGATGTATATTCTGGAGGAACTTTGTTTGGAATCCGATGAACTCTAGTTTTCTGGTTTTGTCTGCATGTTTTAATTTTTTTTTTTTTTGCCTATTTTCTCACTCGTATTATGTTTGTGGGTTGGGTTGACCCGACCCAATCCAATAGATTAATTATATAAAAAGAAAAACTAAAAAAGGTTGAAAAAGTAAAAAAAAAAAATATATATATATATAAATTTTATTAATTAATTAAGTGAGTTTAATTTAT